CAACAGAACTCAGAGAGTTCCAATGCTGCTTCTTCCTCAGGATGTGTTCTGGGTCTGTATCCTGCTCCCTTGTTTCTACCACTTTATCTTGTTTCTATGTGTGGACAGTGATGGTCTGTAGTCTCTGAGACATCGTGGAGTTTTTTGTATTTAGATCTCTGTTAACTGTTTGTAAAGAGCAGCCAAGGGTGAGTCAGGCCCTTCTTGGTGGTTGTTTATCATTGGCCCATTGGTGGAGAAGGAAGTGGTGGCTCTCACTCAGTAAGTGAAGCTGCAGGAGGTGTGGGTGTAGTTTTTTTTGTATGGGGACTGTTGCTGTCTTCCACTCAGACAAAAATAACAATTGAATAACCATCAAAAAAGTAAAAGCAAATATACAAGAAATACACCATGTAATGACACAGGAACAGTAACCAAAAAAAGAAAAAATGGAAAAAGAAGAAGAAAAAAAAACCCTGCAATATTTGAGGAGAGAGCAATAAGAGAAAAAAAAAAGGTAGAGAAGGAGAATAATGAAGACAAAAATAGGAAAAACTCAAAAAGAAAAATAAGGAATGGGGTTCACCATGAGAAAAGGAAAAAAAATATGGACGAGGAACAAGGAAAAAAGAAAAAGCTGAAAACTAGAATCTGGAAGGGGAAGAATGAAGAATAATAGTAAAAAGAACAAATGAATAACAATAATAATGGTAGTTTTAAAAAACAAACAAACTGAAAAATAGAAAAGAGAAAAAAAAAAAAAGAATTGGGGCAGGGTGGGGCAGGGCACCCAGTCCCCGTCCAAGCATGCAGCCTGGGATGGAATTCCTGTCGGCCCAGAAAGTGGGTGGAAGTCAGGGATGGCTGCTCCGTTCACCAAGTGGGTGTGGGGTATAAGAGTATCAAAGCACATGTTGCACCTTTCCAGTCGTCCGGGTCTGGAATGTCCTTGGGTTCCTCATGTTTGGAGCCTGTTCCTAAGTCCCTGGAATCTGGGAGAATGCTGTTGCTTTTAATATCCAAAATGGTCAAGCTGCTTGTAAACATTCAAAATGGCTGCTGCACCCTATGAACAGGCAAAAGTCCACAGCTCAGCCTGCCTTCCTCTTCACTGCTTCTCCTTTTATTCCCTAGCTACCAGAGCAGTCCTCTGTGCAGTCCCTGGCTAGCAGTGCCAATTTTAGGTTAATTCTTATGTCCTACCAACACTCAGAATTATCCAAGCTGTCTGGGCCATCAGGTTCACTGCCAGACCACAGCTCCGTATGTCTGTTTTCATGCAAATTCTGCTGCTAGTTGGGGTTTAGTCCACTTCTATATCCTTCCCTTCAAGGGTCAGGGGTCCAGGATTATCTTCTGTATCTGTGTTAATTGATTCCCCTTTTCTTTGTTGAAGAGGGTCTCTGCAGTCTTTCTGCCTATTCTGCCATCTTACCAGAACTCTATTCATTAAGTTTTCCAATAATATGTCAGATAGTGTTTCATTTCTATTCATAAGGTTTTCACTGGCCAATTCTTTGAGGAGTGGATGGTCCCTACCTTCTGTTGAGTCTGGCTTAGTCTGGGAGCTCTAGTGAAACCTGTGCACCATGGGGGACCCTGCTGGTATTTGAAATACCTGTGGTACAGCCTCTCGCCTTACTTACATGCAACCCACCACAGTAGAACAAACTGACAGACAAGTGGTGGATATACAGTATACAAAGAATAAAGACATACAATTTTTATATTGTATATGCCATATAATTAATATATGAGCTCTGGTGGCATAGTGCCTAAGGTATTTGACTGCTAACCAGAAGGGTAGCAGGTCAAATCCACCAGTCACTCCTCGGAAGGAAGACTGGGCAGTCTACTTCCATAGTGATAACACTTCAGAAACTCAAGGAGGGGTTGCTATGAGTAGGATCCAACTGGATGGCAGTGAGTTTGTCTTTTTTTTTTTTTTTTTTAATATATAGTATGTCTTTATTCCTCTAATAAAGAATTTATAAGTGCAGTTCTCTATAAAGCAGCGTATTTTCATCTGGATGTCAATGGAAGATAGCTGTGAGGCTATCAGTTCTCTGTGATTCATATAACAAAAGAACCCATTTTGTAGAGAGTAATTCACTAATCTTTTTATCTCTTGCCTTTAAATTATATGCCTTTTTGCTGGCTTTTATGAGATAAGGCGTGAGAAGGGTCCTATGATTTAATGTGGTAGTTCTTATGCTTTACCTTGCATCAGAATCACCTGCAAAACTTGTTTAAAGAATTGTATACCCTCTCCTCAGGCCTTCTGATTTAGTAGGTATATTAGTTATCTGCTGCTACACAACAAATTACCACAAAGTCAGTAAACCACTCCTCACTTATCTATGTGATTAGGTTCCAAACACCACGTCATTATGTGAATATCAATGTTATGCAAAAATAGAGGATGACCACATCACCTCACCCCCTCACTTGTACTATGAACTCCCCACTAGGCCCCTGCTGAAGTAACCTGCCACCTCTGCCTCCCTCATGTCACCTTAGGAGAGATCAGCCCCTACTGCTGCCTGCAGAGGAGGGGTGCCCAGTCTTCCAGAGCCAAGGTGGCCCAAGTGCTGACCCCACCCCATCCCTGGGGTCCCCTTCTTCCGCTGTCCTCACTGTATTTTCAAAATAGGTGTCCCCATGTCATCCCCTCAATGACCTCAAAATGCCCTTGGAAGTTTTGTTGGGGTCAGGGAACTCTCTTTCCGTGGGTGGGAGGGCCTGGGTACCACAGGGAAGATACACTCTGCCTGATAGGTCCCCCACCAGACCCTTACCTGAGCATCCCCCAGCTCTTGCTAGGTAGCCCTGCCCACCTATACCTCATAAAAATGGCCAATCCAGAGTCTCTTCTGAGGCTTTGTTGCCTTGAGGTCTCATCAAATACTGGACTAGGGAAGGATGCACTTCCAAACTCATGTAGTTGTTGGCTGAATTCAGTTCCTCAAAGCTTATTGGACCAAGGGCCTTGGTTGTTAGGTGGCCATCCTGTTTTTTGCCATGTGGGCTTGTCAAACATGGTCACTTGCTTCATCAAAGCATGTAAGCTAAGAAGGCAGTAGAGCAAGTCTGCTAGCAATAAGGAAGTTACTGTCTCTTGTACCCTAATCATGAAAGTGGAATCCCCTCAATATTGAAGTATTCTCTTGGTTAGAAGCAAATTACTCAAGAAGAGGGGATTAACGTAAAAGTAAAAAACAAGTGAGGATCATTAGGAACCATCTTAAAGTCTGTCCTCCACAGTAGACTTGAGGTGGTGTGAAGGATTTGCACTTCCTACAAGTTTCCCATGTAACAGTGATATTGCTGATCTGGGACCACATTTTGAGGACCACTGGTTTGCTGAATATCCTTCCTGGTTTCATCACTCTACCCCTCTACTTTGCTTTGTGTCTGAGTCTAAAGCTTTGTTGATGAAGTTTTACTGATAATAAACTTCCATTTTCCTGGCTTGGAGATGGGGTTAGGGGGTAAAAGGAGTGGTTACCAGGCTATTCAGAGTTGGGGAAGTTGGAGTCTCAACTTTTCTTTATATAGACTTTCAATTAATATATCCAGTTTCCAGCCTTGTTCCATGCATACTCTCCTCTATGGTACTTGATGTCACCAGGTGCTGATAGCCTAGGTTCCGTATGAATCTCTAATTCTCTTTACAGGCTCTAGGGTGGAGCTGGGAGCTCTGGTAGCATAGTGGCTAAGACACTTGCCTGCTAACGAGACGGCTGGCGGTTCAAACCCACCAGCCATCCTCGGAAGGAAGGTTGGGCAATCCTACTTCCGTAGTGATACTGCCTCGAAAACCCAAGGAGGGGTCGCTATGAGTCGGGTTTGACTCGACGGCACATA